AACTTTTTTCCTGCGAACATATATTTGAATGTGAATTTTGGACAATGTGCAATCTATGCTACATTTTGACGAGAACCAGAACGAGCATGGGAACTCATTTTTTATTTGATTTGTCGATACAAAAATCTGTGCTTAACTTTTGCTGTCAAAATTTCAGTAAATTGTTATATTTATTAGGGAATACATCTATATGCCGTTAATCACCTGCTTTTAAAGAATGCAATTATTCAACAGACAGTTTTTAATCACTTTTTATCGAATATTTGTCTTTCAAGAGGATATAGATAACGTAGGTATTGAATTTAAAACGAAACAAATTACAATTACTTTTGCAAGAAAAATATTAGATATTGTATACAAATATTTGATCACATGTATTTCCTTGTTAAGTCAATAAATACTACACTGTATAGTTAAAATTCAATTATTAAAACCACCCGTCCCACACGATTTTAGATGTAAAAACGTATGCGAAACCTTTATGGTTGTTTTTACATATGTAGATTGATATAATTTTATAAAATGCGAAAATAAAGACTAAAGCATTGACTCAAATGCGACTCAGAAAATATAACAGCGGAACTCTGCGGTTTATGAAAACTGTACCATTGAGCAAGGTGTCCCGGGCGAATACAAAGGGAAACCACTCTCAACTAGACTTTGAACTAAGATTAGCTCCCCCTAAACTATCAATAAGGTCACGGTCATTACTGTAGCCTGCCGACACCTTCCGTTTTTATCCTTCCCAAATTATCGAAAAGGTATGTTGTTTCACACTTCTTCAGCATGGACTTGGATAGACAAATAATGTAAGCTATCGACTCCACAGTTATGTGTATCGCTGTCGTGATTAAGAACATTTTTGACGTGAAATCCTTGATGCCTTCTTCGTGTTTTCGAATTGTCAATTTGAATCACTCAGTTTTACAAAATTAAATGTCAATGTTTGAACGTAAAGCGGACTAGTTGTTTGGCACAATATCTATGGAAAAGTATGCCGCCATCTTGGATGAAGATAAAATAAACTTACGACAGGTATAGAGCTATCTTAGATTTACGACAAACTTAAGATATCTTAGGGCTACGATAGTTTCGAAAATAGGCTACGATAGCCTACGATTTCCTTACGATAACTTTACGATAATCTTAGGGCTACGATCGTTTCGAAAATCTAGGCCCAGAATGGTAGCCTTTATCAATAGAACAGCCCACAAACAGGCCCTGACCAAAACAGACACCCGCCTCCACCCATGGATCATAAAAAAATAATTGCGTGCCTGGTGCAACCTTCAGACAATGAAACGATAAAATACAAATGTAAAACACATCGTTTCATCAACACTTGTGTTTATATTAATAAAAAATATAATGTGATGGTTTTCCTTCAGAAAAACATTTACTTTTAATTACAAAATATGATTTTTTAAATTAACCAATTTACGATTTTTATATTTTTGTCATTATCTATATTTTACGATTCTTCAAAGGATATATATATATGTCAGAATGTTTGAAGTGCAATCGAACATGCATCTTTCCGCAAAGATTTCAAAGAGCGTCATATGACTCTTGCTTGGAAACTGCTAGATCAATGTTACACCAGCCAAGGCTTCTGTTAAGCTTTCGAAACGTTTTATGGTTGAAATGAGGATGACATTTGCAAAGATGTGACTAAAATGATGTCCGATGCAATTCCATATTTTTACTTGTGCCATATGTTCGTGTGTTTATTTGTTTAAGGTGAACAATTGAGTTGTCTTTACATGTGTTTGCAACGAGTGCCACAGGTAGGACAAGATACGCTCACCTTTTCGCGATGTAGATATCGCTTGATCTCACCCAAGCGATATCTCCCGTGAGTGCCAGTTTTGGATGATAAAATAACTTGGCCTCGGGTGTTAAAACGATACTCCAATTTTGCTGGTATGATAACATTTGGAGAGAGCAACATGTGACAGTACCAGATCGTTTCATATGTAATTTAAGACAAAGGCTAAAAGATATGTATTTTCAAAAGTTCACTATCTTTTCACAATAAGTTAAATCAATACTCCTGTTTAAAATAGTTCATTCTTATTGCAAAATATCTTTTGGACATAAATGTTAAGAAATTTCGAGCAGCACTATCCCGTTTCAGATGTAGTTCTTATGACCTTCTGATAGAAAAAGGTTGACATTTAGCGACATCAAGGGTAAACAGATTGTGTAAATATTGTACCTCCTATGCTATAGCAATTAGGACATAGAATACATTTTTTCAGGTCGTAGAACTGCATGATCATATCTTCCACATGTTCCTATTAATAACAAATATATCCTTTTCAGTGAGAGTGTTTTTCAAACACAATGATAGTGTGTTCTGATCTGCGCGTCCTGGGAAATATATACTTGATGTTTCAGTACCTCCTATATGTCGACTTAGATGGGCATTTCAGGGACAGAGTATGTCTCAGTACCTTCTATATGTCGACTAAGATCTGTATTTGGGTTCAGAGTATGTTTCAGTACCTCCTATATGTCGACTAAGATAGGTATTTTGAGGCAGAGTATGTTTCGGTACCTCCTATATGTCGACTAAGATAGGTATTTTGAGGCAGAATATGTTTCAGTATATAATCTATATGTCGACTAAGATCTGTATTTGGGTTCAGAGTATGTTTCAGTACCTCCTTTATGTCGACTAAGATAGGTATTTTGAGGCAGAGTATGTTTCACTATATTCTATATGTCGACTTAGATGGGTATTTTGGGTCAGAGTATGTTTCAGTGCCTCCTATATGTTCGACTAAAATGGGCATTTGGGGGGAGAGTAAGTTTCAGTACCTTCTATATTTCGACTAAGATAGGTATTTTGAGGCAGAGTATGTTTCAGTATATAATCTATATGTCGACTAAGATCTGTATTTGGGTTCAGAGTATGTTTCAGTACCTCCTTTATGTCGACTAAGATAGGTATTTTGAGGCAGAGTATGTTTCACTATATTCTATATGTCGACTTAGATGGGTATTTTGGGTCAGTGTATGTTTCAGTGCCTCCTATATGTTCGACTAAAATGGGCATTTGGGGGCAGAGTTAGTTTCAGTACCTTCTATATTTCGACTAAGATGGGTATTTTGAGGCAGAGTATGTTTCAGTATGTAATCTATATGTCGACTTAGATCTGTATTTGGGTTCAGAGTATGTTTCAGTACCTCCTTTATGTCGACTAAGATAGGTATTTTGAGGCAGAGTATGTTTCACTATATTCTATATGTCGACTTAGATGGGTATTTTGGGTCAGAGTATGTTTCAGTACCTCCTATATGTCGACTAAGATAGGTATTTTGAGGCAGAGTAGGTTTCAGTATATTCTATATGTCGACTAGGATGGGTATTTTGGGACAGATTATGTTTCAGTACCTCCTATATGTCGACTAAGATTGGTGTTTGGGGGCAGAATATGTTTCAGTGCCTCCTATATGTTCGACTAAAATGGGCATTTGGGGGCAGAGTAAGTTTCAGTACCTTCTATATTTCGACTCAGATGGGTAATCGGGGTCAGAGTATGTTTCAGTACCTCATATATGTGGACTAAGATCGGCATTTGAGGTCAGTCTTTGGGGCGTGGCTGATTTGAGTGTCGTTGATTGTTGTTGATGCGTCCAACCAGATTAGACTAACTTCAGTCCTTAGTGATATATCTGGAATATTAGAACATTCACTCCCTCACTAATAATGAAGCAAGTTTTTGAATAGAATGAATAGTGTGTAGACCTTCAGGTCAAGTTGACCTTATGCAGACAAAACCTAAAGTAGCAATTTATATCGAATTTATTCACATAAAATGTTACAAACACATAGCCAGTATATATTCCCAGACGTGAATCAAAATAAATAAATAAAACTTTTAATGAGTTTGTTTTGAATCTATCGTTATTAACAAAGCAAATACGGGATACACCGTAGTGCCAGATGTGCGTGGATATATCATAATATTACATACTACAACGTCAAAGCCATAACCATACCATACAGTCAATGCAAGATACCATAAAATCCATGGATCACTCCATCAACTGCAGAACAAGAGTGTGTGAGTTTGGTGTAACGGCGCTTTAACCTGTACCCTGTCAACTGGGTTCGTCATTCCCCCATGAGCATCTTGACAAGTGTGTGAAACAAAAGTGTTGAAATTCTTCCTCGTCTTCTTATTAACAAGTTGAAGATTCGGGGTAGAATAGCAACCCATGCTTGTCGTAAGAGGCGACTACAGGATCGGGTGGTCAAGCTCGCTGACTTGGTTAATGCATGTCATCGCATCCCAATTACGTAGATCGATGCTCAAGAAATCAATCACTTCATCATCTGGTCCAGACTCGATTATTTTTCAGACTGCCGTCATATAGCTGGAATATTGCTGAGTGCGGCGTTAAACAACAAACAAACTAACAAATCTTATTGACACATTGCATAGGGTGGTTCATCAACAGATGGGACATCGGAGGCTCTGAAGTTCGAATCCATGTGTCACCATTCATGTCATCAATTGCCTGTCACTATTCCCGTGCCATTATCATCAAAGGTATAAACGCTCAGCTGGGATTTTATTGAAAAACATTTTTCTGTTCCCGGAATAGAAAAACAATTCTGTTTTGGTATTACAAAAAGCCAAAGCAAATAACACCATTCGCAGGACATGGTGGATGTTTCAAAACAATAATGTGTAATCGTTAAAACTCCAACCCTGTTTAGATCCTTCTTCCGGAAACAAACAATCGAGTGTCCGTCTGAAATAAAAGTGACCCTCTACCCCCATCCCCTACCCTACTTCCCCCAACCCAATTGAATACTAAATGATAGGCTTCTGCTGAAGTAACATAAAACTGCTTTACTGATCTTCAGAGTTTAAAACTGCGTTCTACCCAACTACTCACACACTCATTCCCTTCAAAGCCACATGCCACAACTTTCTATATTAGCAGTTCAATAAATAAAGAACAACTGGTGCTTCACATAAGGTTTACACGCTAATCAATACTGCTTCCACAGGCGCCGTCTTAACCTTGTAATAATGCCCATTTCCAACAATTCTCATTCCAGACACTCTCTCCTTTTTCGCTATAAGTTGCTTGAATATATCTGCTATAAAAAGCAGGTGTGACAAGGTGTAGGCTCTCCTTGGGATGCAGAGTTTTACGAAATGTTGATGACTTTCACGGTCATTTCTGTCATCGACATCCAACACATTTGGACCATGGGCTCCACGGATGCCTCCTTCAACAAACAGAGCACAGTTGAGAGCCCACGCCGGATACTGGTGTGTTGGAATATGAGGCAAACATTTAGCTGCGTTGATGTAAAGTGCACTCCCGACCGGTTCCACAATAGACACGCCAGCTTTCTTCAGTAAATCTCCAAACTGTGTCAGTGTTTCAATTCGATACTTCAGATAGCTATCTTCAATCCCTTCCAACAATCCTATCGCAATAGCATCAAGATCTCGGGTGGCCATTCCACCCAGTCTCCATTTCCCCACTGTTCGGTTTAACTGGCTCCTAATTGTGGCGAAGAGGTCCCCGTCTCTAACTGCTATAAGGCCACCAATGTTGCACAAGCCATCCTTCTTAGCGGACAGGTAAAAACCGTCGAAATAGGAGAACATCTCAAGAGCAATGTCTCTGGCTGATCTGTTAGCATACGTCTTGTCTCTTATTTTGATGAAGTAGGCATTTTCTGCAAAGCGACATCCGTCCATGAACACTCGAATACCC